CGTGCAGACTAAATAGTCGGATTGGTAGACGAGGGATCCCGAGTTCAAATCCAGTCGGTCTCCGTTAATTTTTCCGTAATCTAATAAATATCTTTCAATCTCAGAAGTGGGATTCAGCCCATGTTACCTCAGAAAGGATACAGCCTATGTTACCTGACAGGGAGAATTCAGTCGATTTTATGTGTGTCGTTTGTGTGTTGTTCGAAATGAACGGAAAAAAGTACGTGGAGTAAAAATAACTCCAATGTCGTGTCAATCGTTCAAAAGTGAACGGAAAAAGTCGTGGAGTTAAAATACTCCAATGTCGTGTCGATCGTTCAAAAAGTGAACGAATTCGGGAGCAGAAGCTCCAAGTTTCGGATAAAATTCCGATAGATGAAGACTCGGTACATTCGGGACGAATATAATGCCAGAATGGCCGAGATGTAAGAATTAGACGACCGTAAGCGGTCATAAAAGAGATTCGGAATATAAACAGCTAACAGAGAGGAGCCATCGTGGTCGTACAGACCAAGTGTCGGATTGGTAGACGAGGGATCCCGAGTTCAAATCCAGTCGGTCTCCGTTAATTTTTTCCGAATCTAATAGATATCTTTCAACATTCATTTATTATTTATTATTTATTATTTGTTTATTTATTTCGTATATATTTCTGACGCTGCTAAAGATGTCCCTTCCATAATTTTAAAATTCTATAATAAATATGTGTATATCTTTTATAATTTCTCTTTCACTTCACTGGCAACATTTTCTAGCGTTATTTCGCTAAAATTTGGACAATGTCGAATTTTTCAGCATGCCTTCACTAATTCGCTGTATTTATCGAAAATCAATGGAGAGGGGGTAAAAGTCTGTTTTTAAATTATTGGCGATTAAAGTTTACTAATCACAAAGTTGATATTTCGCGCGCTCAGACATAGTGATATGACAAGTAGTAAAGGTTTCATCATGAGGGTTCTCTTACAACATTGAGAATATCACAGAAATATACAATGATATTCTTATTAAGAAATTATTTCTGTTTCGGAACTTATTTGTATATTACACAATTAATATCGCATAACATCGTAAAATATCTGTTCAATAACATATTGATTACATACCATGTAATAACTGTCAAAAAAATTCATTACAATGTTTATTTACCTCATATGGTAATGTCAAAATGGTATGTACAACTATTTCAGATAAAAAAAATTATTACAGTCTATCGCTTATAAATTTATGTATATATTTATAAAAACAATTATTAATAAAAATATAGGTCAATAATTTGATATAAGCGCATTGAAGTCAAACAAAATAATTTCTTAATAAGAATGTCATTGTATTGTGACGTTCAGCCCGAGGTAAATTCAAAATTGAAAATTAAGAATTAAAAATGCGAACGGGATACGAATGGGCTTGGAAGGACGTGAACAGCTGTTCTCTCGAAAGCGTGATCCTTCGAGTCCGAGCGCACTGATAAATCTCGGCACTAGGTCAACGATGCGAAAATGAGACTATTCCACAGACGTGCAATCGGTCATTTTCTGGTTAAAAAATTTAATTCCTATTACTAGGAATAGACCTCGTGCGATCAGTGGGATGGGGGGAATAAGACGAAGAGAAAGATAAGAAAAAGAAAAATAAAGAGAAATTTAAATAAAAAAAGATTAAATTAAATGTTTAATATAGTTAATGTTATACATGTTTTTGAGAAGCAAGAGAAATGTGGGCGAGTAGTGTGCATGTATGTTATCGCGGATTACAATCGTTCGGCGGTCATCGGGTAGGATTTCTAGTAGAGAGAGTGTGAGTGTAAGAGTGTATTAACTCTAATAGTACTCTTCTATTCTGAGAACGTTCCACAGGATAGCAACAACAACATATCAACAACATACAAGTATATTCGAGATATTCCCCGAACATTCGAAATACGTACTGCGATATACTATGGAATATATTTAGATCTCCAGGAAAAAAAGTTTATATCTAATTATATATAATTATATATAATTTTGTAGATCTAATTATGTACGGATTTTGACCTGATCTAATTATATAAAAATAGATAAAATTGTTTATGATTATATATGAACAAATCAAATTATGCATATTTATGATGATAAAATTACGATTGCGTTCCGATATTGACTGTTAATACTGAAAATCTATAATATATGTGACATAAAATACCTTTATAGAGAAGTGAAAATAAGTGAAAAAAAATGAAAAAATAAAAAAAAAATAAGAGAAAGTGATGAAACATTTTTTATCTCGTATCATCACATTGTTGTATACCGGATGGGTTACAACGTTATTATTAGGGATAGTCGGGTTCGCCAAGCCTAAGGAGTTGAAACTCCGAGCAGGATCAAAAGAATATAAGGATCCTCTTGAAATCACACACTTTCCTTTAATTTGATTGATTTATTTTAACAAGAGCACAAACACATGATATTACACTGTTATATTTCTCACACACGATTAAGCGTCGTCGGGCGGCTCGGCGCGTCTCGCGTTACTCTGCGACCGACGATCGAGTGTGACACCTGAGATGCTAATAATACGGCTCGCGTGAACTTCGCGATGGGATTCGGTAATATCTCGCGCGACTTTTATAATTTTGATTCCGAAATGACTTATACTTTCGACTCCGCCTTGTGTAACCGGTTATGTAAACTGGTCGA